GTACGCTTGCATATTTTTTACAGTGTCTACAACAGATGTTGGTTAACCAGTTTATTTCTGGCCACACAGGAATGCACAAATGTTACCTTTAAACTACATGCCCCAGCTGCACAACACAACTGCCCTGCTTGGCCCCTTTTAGCTTATGCTGGCTCAGTTTCTTCACGCAGCAGTGTTCTGTTTGTTCTGTGCATCCGAACGCAACGTTGCCAAGTAATGAGCTACATTTGAATGAAGAAACCAAAATCTGGTGATTACTGCAAGCTTTTTGTAACCTATTCATTATGAAACTGCACAACACCTATATCTTAATTTGAAAGATCACATCAGAAAATACTACACTGACTTCTTTTGACTTATAGTCATTCATGGTTAGTAGTTTCAAAAAAAGAAATTTGACTTCACTCATTGGCACTGATCTGACTTCTACCAGCTGATATTCATGTCTGTTTTTCTTTAGATTTCAGCTGTGGCAATTTTTATTCCATGTACTATAACACAAATCGTCATCTGTTAAAGAAATTCTGTTTTAATTTACCAACTACTTCTGCAAATTCAAGACAGTTTGTCAAGGCAAGTGTTTATTGCTGGGTAAGCAGAGACACAACATGAGAACCCTCCATTAATTCAAGGTTTCACTCAACATCCATTAGAAGATTCTGCACTGCTCTTGATGATGGATGCATTTAAACATGATCTCATCCGTCTTACAGCTGTCCTATAGGTGGTCTTATGATCACACCTGTAGGTGTAACTGTAAATGCTACTTTGTTGATGTCACCACCATCAAACTCTGGGTATAATTTAAACCTCTGTTGTTCTTTTTTTCACTCAGTTGATTCAGTTCTGTGGTATTTATCCCAAAAGTAAATTAAAAGACATTTTAAAAAAAATGGTGGTGCTGTGGGGAGGAAGGATCTCCAGTAGCAGTCTACCTGGAATACTTTCCAACGAATCTGCGGAGATGATATTTCACAGTAATATGTCCTGGATGAAGCCATCAGTTGTCCGCAGGCTCTGCTAATCCACCTCATTTTGCTTTTGTCACCCCTCTTTAAAAACTCTCTAAATCTCAAATTTAGAAAAGATTCCTAAATCTCTTCTAAATTGGAATGTTTACATTGCTTTCAATGTAAATATCTTTACAATGTTTGCAAATTGTCCAAACAAATATGAGAACAAAAGTCTACAAAAACAATAAATCAGAAATAGCATAACGGAGCTACTCCAACATGCTGCCACTTTGAGTAATGCGGTTCTAAAACAAGACTGCAATGCTCCCTGAGATTTTATAGTGCTAAAAATTACCAGTACACACTCGTTTAATATTGTTTCTTTTTTTAACTGGAATTTACATCCATTTTTTACTCCATCAGCTTTTTAAACGGCCAGATTTAAACTCTCAGTTGCTATTTATTTTGTATCTATTTTAACTCTGTTGTCCAGGCTACGTCTGGCATTAACATCCCAATGCACCAAATTTGTGGTTTCACAATGCTAGGACAAGCTAACTTATCTCAGTCTTTTTTTTTCTTTCTTTTGTTTGTCTTCTTATTACAGTTAAATGCAAAATTTCTCATCATAAATCTTTCGACTCTGCAAGGTGCTTCTTTTTATTCAAATTTATTGGGGCGTAACAAAGGTTGATTCCCATTTTAGGTGAAATTCTGCATGTCAAGCTTTCATTGCTGAGAAAATTAAGGCTTGAGCTCTTCAATAGCTGTGCTTCTGACCTGTGTGGGAGAAAGGTTGCTTACACACAAAGGGACCATGTGATGTTCCAGTTTAACAAAGATTTGTTCTTGTTTTCTCCCAGAAAGGGATGAAATTAAGAGGTTGACACTGATTTGGAAACACAGCTCCATTGTGGGGGAATAATAACTAACATGTTCAGAACCAGTTGGGAATTAAAGGTTCTGGTGGTAATACTTAGGAAGATGCTTGAGCTGGACACGGAGGCGCACACAGTGTTGTGGTTACTTCTGATTGTTTGCCTGGGTGGTCCTATCTTTAGCACTACTCTTCTTCTTCTCTATTTTTTTTCTCTGCTTTCTTTTGCCTCTCTGTTTAGGCATGGACTTTGTGTTTCTTAAATTGTATAATTTCATTCTTGTGTACTTAGTTATCGAATACCACTTGGTTGTTGGGAATGTTTTATTTTATTAGCTCTGGACAGAATTAGAAAAGTTCACCAATTGAAATTGATGTAATTTAATCTAATTGTGTGTTTTTTTTACATCCTCCTTACAATTTGCTTCCATTAGCTGTGGTACCGATGCCTGCATAAATCAGTTGAATTTTAAGACAGTTTCTGACTCCACATATCTGTAAACGGAGCGTGCGAGGATTTCTGCAGTGGAAACTAAGAAAACAAATGGCAGTAATTACTCTTACAGAGTTAATTTTCAAACATCGTAATGCACAGAGCTTAAATGGATAGACTCCAGACAGAAAGACCCCAGGCTGGGATTTGAATCTAAGACCTTCTTGCATGGTGTTCCAGTACTACACCATACAGCCAGTTTGTTTGAAACTATTGGATAATTAGTAATATCCTTAAATCAATCTAATTTCAGTGTGTTTTTATACCTTCAGAAACTTATTCCAGCTCACACCAATGCTGCTGCCTGGGTTTCTAAAATTGTCTTAGGATAAACAAATCTTTCTAAATTATTTGTGTTTTGCCTTAATTCTGGGAATTTATCATCTGCAGTTCTGTTTTTGGGGGATAGAAAAACTTGTTCTAATATGATTATGTAGTTCTTGCATGCAGAACAAGATGATGAAAAGTTAATTTACCACATACGTCTTTGCACTGAGAAAAGTGTAAGTGTGGGGAGGGTCTGCTTCAGCAGAATGGAAAAAAATTAAAGTAGTTCGCTGAACATTTAGAAGTCATTTATCTTGTGAGTTTAATCTCACTGCAGCCAAACAGCATGCTTTTCTGGTTGTATTATTTTATTAAATTTATGGTTTTGTTTCTGGTGAATAATCAGTATTCACTGAGAAAAGAAGGTCACTTTCACACCCCATTTCAAATTGACTGGACACAAACTCCTGCAAAGTTGATAAGGCAGAGGACTTACTGTCTCCAAGCTAATATGTCCTGACCAATCTCTCTCTCGGAAGAAGAAGGGCCAGTGAATTTTTGTCCGTCTGCACCGTCTGGGTCTATTAGTTTTTAACATGCTCTGTCACTTCTTGTTATGGCTGCTTGTTGACCTAAATGACCTCCTTTGAACAGCCATGACTTCAGCTTTGGGAGATAGGTTGCAGAGGAAGAGCTTTTTTGAAAGCTTTTCATGTTGGGGTGTCTGACATCTTTCTATTGACAGTGTGGACAGGAAACTGAATCATGGATGCAGGGAAAAGAAATGAAAAGAGAAGCAAGATTCTAAACTACAAGGAGCAACACAAGAGAAGGGGTTTACTTGTATTTACATGTTAGTTAGCTTAGATATTTGAAAGATGAACATTTTTTATCTGTCTGCCATTCGCTCTAAGGCTTTGTCACAGTTTTGTTTCTGACAGATGAGTCTAAAAAACGCAATTAAAGCAATTCAAAATATCCCAAGACTTTAATATCAAACAAATAGGATTAAAACCAGTTTTCATTGGAATGAATCCATTGTTATCTTGCTGGTTCAAATAGTCTTTTCTACCACGTCTAAGCTGCGGCGTTCTGAGGCTCGACCCTGATGATTTGGCTGTGGCGGCTCTCGGAGGGTCTGGGCCGACCCTGATTACGTTAAACAGGAAGTCAGAAGTGGGAGAGGTCATGAACTGCAGAACCCACAACACACTGCAACACTTGATAAAAGCCAAAAGGCGCAAACAACAACAAAACAGCACACGCTCCTACTCACTGCCAATAACTGAATTACGTCAAAACAGACAGCGACTGCTCTGGGAATGACATTTACAGGGTGAGCTCATTGTACTTTAGTCACTCTCTAATAGAATTATTTCATGTACAATCTTCTAAATGCTGCTTTTGTCTTGACAGTTGAAGATTTATTGTAAATTTTAAGGCAACATGATGACTCTTGTAGTTGAAGTTGACGGTTTACGATGAATGTTAAAAGATAAACTCTGAAGAAAAACACATGCAGAGGGTTTTCAGATTGAAAAAGTTTATTTGTAGTGTATCTGTTGCAGTGAGACTCCATCCATCATGTGGATTGGCGGGCATGACTTCATAGCACATGTGAATAAATACCAACACACATTGCATCCCACACATCCCTTTGCAGTTTAAATATTGCAGATTATTATTTGCTGTTTGACTGTTTATAATGTGTAGAAAGAAACAAGAATTGTATAAAACTAGATCAGAATTAGCCTTCCGAACTTCAGTTGGTGTCTTTTTGTGATTTGGATTAATTTAAAAATGTTTTTCACAAACAGAATAATCTTGTTTTTACCTTGAGGCCACAGACTGATGGTAGCATTAGCTTTCTTCTTGCTAAATGTTAGTGTAAGATACAGAGATGTTTTATGGAAATCCCTTTGGCTTCCAGCAGGAGGCGTTTGATGACGCAGTGCTTAGCCAAAGGCCATGCGTTCTTGCTTGTTAACCGCCCTTTCTTGTGCTCATGGATATAAAAATAGCAACTTAGCAAGAATCCCAATCCTGCCCTGCTAACAAAGACTGATTTATTCAAGTTGTGACACAAAACATAGAGGAGCTTTTGTCCTTCCCCTTCTTTTCTCACTGCAGACCTCGTCACATTGGCCATGGGTGCTAAAATCTCTGACGTTCCAATGCCTCTCTTAAAACAGCCTTTCTACAGTTCTGGCTCAGGAACGTCAAGTTGAGCTGAATTGAATGAAAGTAGATTTAAAAATTAGTTTTCACCATATTTATGTCAAATAATTTTTTTGCAGCCTTCTGCATCAGCAAATGGAAGTATATAATATTCTGGTATTTAGCCGAATATCTTAAAATGTCAAACTCATGTAGAAGGTATTTTATTTTTTTACTGTATATCAAGTAAAAGGGTGGATTATTGCTGATTTACTGTTGCTGTAGGATAACCTTTCTGCTGAAGCATACTTATAAGAGCCATTATTTGTTTGTATACATGGTTCCCCCCCAGAATAACTTGCTAAGCCTGGTGGTTCGGGCAGTAAACCAGCGGTCTGTTTTTGTGTTAAATGGTAAAATTTTCAGGACAACGTTGTAATGTGGCAGAACAGTTCCCAGAGTTAATACTTATTGGCGTTCTTGCAGATCAGAGAAAATATTAAAAATAACACTGAACTGTCAGTTTATTAAGACAACAATAAACCAAAATTCATATCATAAGAAGTTCTTCACAACAATTCATAGATAAATGCCCAACCCCACTGACGACGTAAGTTTTATATGTTTATATATATTAAAAATATATATAACTGAATCGGCAGGTTAGTTTTTTTTTTTTTTTTTTTTAGATTGCTGATTGGCCAGAAAACTGCAATCGGTGCATCGCTAAAAATCACCTTTTTGTCTTTGCTCAGCTTATCTTTGTCATTTTTATTGTGATGTAAAACATTCAAGTGTAACAAAAAACAGAAGTAATCTTTGCGGAAGCAAATACTTTTTTACAGCACTGTGTCATAATACTGTAGAAATAAAAGGACCTGCCATCCAAACAGCACAGAGTCTTGTTTATTTCTGAACCTAATGTATTCTGTATGATGATTTTTGCCTGATAAAAGTAACACATATTCTTTATCATCCAAATCTTGTCCTTCTCTGCATCAACTTCACCCCATGCATATTGCGGCCAGTCTCCCCGTTCCCTGTGAGTGTGTTTTCCTGAGGAAAAAACAGAGAAGCTGTCCTAGTCAAAGATGAGTCAGTACAGCTGGGGTGCAGGTCACTTAACCACAGCCCACTCAGATGGGACAGATGGCTCAGCCAGTCGCTTGCTGATACATCTTAACTGTATATTCAGGTCTTTGTTTTTGAAGAGAAGAGAGGTATCAGTTCATCAAAAAAACATCTGAAAAGGTTAAAAATGAAGCTAAGCCCCCTTCAAAAAAGGTTACTTTCATTTAAATCAGCTAAATTCTCTTGAAACTGGAGTTGGTAGGAAGTGGTGATTTGTGACTCATAAGAAGTTCCTTAGTGCTGTTAGTTCTGGTAGAGAAAATAATCTGTTCACACCCATGAGTGACCTTTGTTCTGACCTTTTAATGTCTTCTGGGATTGATCGGTGTGAAGTAATACATTTTTGATTTGATTTTGCACAGATATTGAACACAATGTTGCGCCCAAAACTTGCTGCAGTTTTATCTGGTCCACAAAATCACCGTCTGAGTTATAACTGCCACATGGATATTACTTGTTGCTAAAACTACAAATCCCAGGGTGCAGTACAACAGCCACAACAGCATATTTGTGCATTCAGTTTGTAACTAATTGCATTTTTCCACTTGTCTACCAAAAATACGACACGAGTTCCCTGAAGTTGTAATTCGTTTGTAGGAAGTTGGAGGTCTCTCCTGGTTGGTTCAAAATCCAATATGGCTGCCATTGTTTCAAAACGTAATGTTAATCTCAAATTGTTTATTTCTAATTTAAATGTGTTTCTAATTTAAATCCACTGTGGGCTCACTCATTCTCTGCTTTTCACCATGTGTGACCAAAAATGTTTTTCCACTTCAGGAACCTTTTGCCAGGAAGTAGAGCAGTTTATGGGGCTTATATTCAGATATTTAAATATGAAAAAATCAGATTATTCCATATTCATAAGCTGCATCAAAACAATAACCTTTCATCTCTAAATGCATGCATTCTGGCCTCTAAATGCATCAGCCAAAACTAGAAAGGCCGAATACGGCCATGTTAGCATCGGTATTGGCCAATTTTAGTTATTTTTAACATATCGCTATCAGTCCAATATAAACCAGGCCAACATTAATAACTAATTTTTTGCTTTTTTTTTTTTTTTTTAAATACATTTTTAATCTTGTTGCTGTTTGTGTTTCGGGAGGTTGGCCATGTGGTATTTGTTTGGTCATGTAACTACGATGCTGATGCAGAACAGGAATGTGGGGAGTTTTAGGTGTCTTAATTTTAGTGTAATGTTTTTTGCTGCTGTTTTGTATAAAATATTTATAAATAAAATAAAGAAATCAAGCTGGTTGCTAAGAATATTCAGTTTTTATTTTTTTGTAAAACATTAATTGGAGAGCAACTGAATCATGTAGCTTTTTATCGTCTTCAAAGCAATTTAAATGGCTTGCAATTGTGCACAGCCTTGGAAAAACGGCAACAGATGGAGGGTCAGCATTCAGCAGTGGTTTTTAAAACATTTACTGGGAGGT